TCTAAGGTGCTTTAATCATCAGTTTAGCTGCTAAACACAGGAATAAATTTGGAGCTTCTGTCTGTGCCTTGTGGCTATATGCTGCCTGGATTTATAAACTTCTCATCCCAGGGGGTCACAAGGCAGTCTGCAGCAGACAGGAGTTGGCTCCACAGCTGTGGATGGGCATCAGTCAGTGGGGGCTGATCCCAGCGTGTTCCCTGCTCTGGAGAAATGTGGTGGCACTGAAAGGAAAATGTGCCAGCCCTTTCTCAGTTCCCTAAGTCAGAGTGAGTGCTCAAGCTAGGGTTACTCAATGAGAAAGGATGTTTTGTAAGTATCTAACACAAATAAATGCCTGTAGGGGGATAAAATATAAGAAAATAAAGGTAGTATAGAATCATATATATATATATATATAATTTTATATATATATAAATATAAATATATATATAAAAAAAAAAATATATATATATATATATAAATCTTACCCCCTAAAGAGTTGCAGCTGAGCCAATTATTAAGGATTAGGAGCAGGCCTGATGTTAACAGGCTGCAGCTGTAGCCAATAAGAAGAGTGTTATAAAAGAGTGGATTGGTGGCAAATGGAGTCAGTTTGCTACTGCAAGGACAAGGAAGAGTCAGTGCCTAGAGGAGCTGCCTACTAGAAACATCAAGCAGGTATGAAACTCCAGCAATATGGAACCCTTGCAATGTCATGACAATGGAACTCCTGCACATAATGACAACAAATGCCTAGTTATCAGGAGCTACGTGTACTGAGAATGTGAGTTATTTTTTCCCCAAGACACTGCCAGTTTCCCAGCACAGATGTCACTGCTGTCAGTCTTTGGTCATGCATGTGGCCTGTGCTGGGCTGGAAGGTGAAGGAAGAAGTGTCAGGTAGGAGCAAGTGAAGCCAAAAAGACAAGGAGTTGTGTGTTCAAGGATATAATGAGGGGAGTGAGAAGTGGTTTGGCCCTCAGGACTGGATGTCAAGCCCTTCTGGGCTTGGCCCAGGTGGGCAGGGAAGTGATGGAAATACCACCTGGATGTTTCTGGTACCAATGGACACATGATCTATAGATCAAGCATGCTGGTCTTCTTCCTTTTGTCTTGGTGCTCAGTGCCTCATGCACAATAAATCCATATAGAGCAAGAATCAAGGTGAAAAGAGAACCTGAGGAACCTGGTTTATCTGGTCCTAAGTGGCTTTGCAGCAGAGTGAGACACAGGTGTTGCTGCTGAAGGAGCAGGTGGGGGAGCAGTGTCATTCCCAGGGCAGCTCTGGCATGGTGAGGGGAGGGAGCTGTGCCAGGCTGCCCAGTCACACTGGCCAGGGCTGCCATGGCAGGTGGGGGGAGCAGCTGGGAGTGGGAGAGGTGGCAAGAGCCATGTGAAAATGCAAACAGAGAGCAGCAGCTCGAGGTGAGGGTGTTAACAGCAGCCTGCTGCAGCTCCAGTCACTGCTGAGCTCCTGGGGGTGCCCCTTGGTTCTCCTCACCCCACATCCCTGTGGCTCAGCTCTAATCCAGCACTGATTTCTGGACCAGCCTGACTTCCTTCCTAGCAGAAGTAACCTGTTAGCCTCAAATGCCTTTGTGGCAGCAAGTGCAGTGTTTTGGCACCTAATCCTGTTCACAGCAAGCACAGACAAGGGTAACTGGTCACATCTTGGTGTGTGTGACTCGTGTATGTGAATGCACAGACTCCTGAAATGGTGTGGATTCTGTTCTACAGGCCAATAATTCATTATGATGGATGTTTGAATCTCTTTTCCTTCCACACTATTTTTCTGTAGATAATTCTTTATTAACAACTACTCTTGAATAAAGCTTCGTATTCCCGAGGCATATGAAGTAGCTTCTCCAGTGTGTAATTACTGAAGGTGCTAAATTGAATGAAAATGAAGAATTATCCAATTGTTTTACAAAAAGAAAGCACATTGGTGTGTTGGCAGCCCTTTGTAGTGTAGCTCATGAAAACTCTTACATAAGTACAAGTGAAAACACTTTGAGGAGGGGACAAGTAAGGTAGGAAGAAAGATTTATCCTCACATTTTGCATGCTAGATCAGGTAGGTAGTTTATGTCATATATATCTGGTCAATCCTGCCAGGATTTCAGTAAAAAATTTACTCTTACTTGAAACCAGTCATGGGCCCCTGAAATGTCTGTAAATTTTATAGAGCTGAACAGACCTCACTGCTTATAAAACAGAGGTTGGAATTGGTCTCTTTGCTCTTGTGATCATCAGCATTTTCAGGCATATTGTGCTTTGGGGACTTCATTTTTCCATTGAGCCGCAGATCCCAGGGCTCAGGAATTCCTGGATGTCTGAATTCCAGAGCTGTCAGTGTGTGAGTGAAGGTGACACTCCTGTGTGTTCCCTCTGAGGGGGCTGTGCATCTCCCATGCAAGTATCACTTTCAGGAGGAGCAGGGGCAGCTGTCAGCCACGATTTTGTGGTGCCTTAAGAAATCTGTAGCGTCACTGTGCCCACACAGATTAGTAAATTTGACAAGTTGAGAAGAGTACTTAGAGCTGGCCTTTGTTTTTAATTTTAAAAATGGTTTGTTTGGCACTATTAGCGAGCACAGATCTTGGCAGAGCTCAGGGAGTCTTTGGTGGTGTTTTCCCAAGACGTGCCCACTCTAGAGCACGGTTAATCCTGGAGCTGGGGAGGATCTGAGCTGCTGGAGAGCAGACACAGGGGACCTGCTGCCTCTGGAGGGGGGACACGTGGTTTGAGGGACTCTGGGGCCTGTGGGTACTCTCTGCACTGTTCTCTGACATTGTGCCCTGCGGGTGGGTACAGGCTCTGGGCTGTGAGCATGCTCTGCACTGTTCTCTGACCCTGTACCCTGCAGGCTCTGGGATAACAGCCTGTGGAACACCTTATTCCACTGGAATCACCCTTATTTTCCATCAGGCTCCTCCTGGAGCAGGTGCAGATGTCCACTCTGACCATGGGGCACAGTAGAGCCCTGCCAGCCTTTCACACTCCCTGGGGAGTATCTGAGGGGCACTACCCCTCACCACACCTGGACATGGATTTTTGACTTCATGTGAAGCCTGGACAGAGCATCAGCTGCAGGTTCAAAAGGTTCAGCTCTTTCTTCAGGACTCCTACAGTGTCTCCTCCTGGCCAGCTCCAGTATGCAGAGACTGTGAGGAGACAAGTGAAAGGAAACCTGACTTGTGTCAGCCTGAACAGCCCTGACAGTCACTTCTTGAGCAGAGTGGCCAGAGACTGATTTATGTCCTAGTGGTGCTGGAGGAAGTTGTATCTCAAGCAGAAAAATGAGACAAGGGTGACACCCTGTACCAGTACTAACTCGGTTCTGGTTGCAAGCAGAGCAGGGGGAGAGGCTCTGGACAATGTGAGCATGTTCCAGGATGGATTTCAGATTCAAAAGCTGACTGTGTGTGGCCTCAGCTTGGGAGGGCTGCTCTCAGAGGGGCACAGGAGCACTTCATGGGCAGCAGTGAAAGGTCCACGTTACACACATACACCACCACTCATGTCCAGAGGTCATTCTCCTCTTCCTCCTTCACTTCATGACCACTTGCAAGATAGCCAAGCCTTCAAATTGTGGATGAATTCTTCTAGGTCATGGCTCAGTAGCCAAAGAAGTTATGTTCTGTAAATATTTACTGAAGTAAAAGCTTGGGTTTGCTTTCTGCCTCTGTTTTAAGTGCTTCTGTCTGTGCTGGACACTAATGATTTCATTTTTTGGGTAGCAGTCACATAAATAATGCCTTCCCTGCTGAGCCTTTTTGCCAGTCCCTGAGCTGCTTCCCATCTGAAGGGAAGTGTAAGAGGTAATTAACAGCCACTTGAAAAAGGATTAGCAGGTGGGTGGGAGCTACTGTTGGGTTCATGCATGGAATTGCCATGGAAATGCTGAGATTTCCTGGCACTTCATCCAGTGTGTGGGCTCCAAAGATAGTTGCACTCATGGGCCTGTCTCCCTTGGATCTTCCTACCCTGCACAGGGAGCGGCTGTGTTTTCTTCCAGGACAGCTCCAAGCTGTGCCCATCTGTGAGGCCGGGGCGGGTGCTGGGCTGCAGCTGCCAGCTGAAGCCTTGCTGCATCTCTTTCATGTCAAACCACCTGGCAGAAAATCAGGAGGGGAAAAAAAACAAACAAACCTTGTTGGTTTGCCCCTTTGCCAGTGTTCTGAAAGAGCTTAATGCACCAAGCACTCGGAGTTTGGCACTTGGAGAAGGTGGTGCTGGTCCTTGTCCTGCAGACTGTCACCAGCTCCATAGCCCTCGTGTGGCTGAGCAGGGCTGCAGCTGGACCAGGGCTGTCTTGCATGGCAGCATTTTCAGGCTGTGCACTGAAACCTGTATTTGCTGCTAGAGCTTTTGGGTGGCCACACATGTGTAAAATATTGGGGTTCTCTGTGAGAAGAGGTTTATCTCTGTCGTGGTTTATCTGTCATTTCAATGCCTGCTGTCACAGACATATTTTCATTAAAAATCCTTTCTTAGGATTTTTTTTCCTGAGAAGCTGAGAGGCTTCAGGAACAAAATGTAAACATTGGTTATCTGCTGCTATGGAATGCAACAGGTGGATCTGTGATTGGCCCATGTTGGATGTTTACAATTAATGGCCAATCCCAGCCCAGTTAGCTTGGACTGTCTGTCTGAGACACAAACCTTTATTATTCATTCCTTTCTATTCTTAGCTTAGCTAGCCTTCTGAGATGAAACTTTTCCTTCTGTTCTTTTTAGTATAGTTATAATGTATATATATATCATAAAATAAAAAATCAAGCCTTCTGAACGTGGAGTCGACATTCTCGTCTCTTCCCTCACCTGAAAACCCCTGTGAACACCGTCACAGCCTGCCTAGAGGTTTAGAAGGTGGTGATGGGCACACGTTCATCTCAAATGGTTCCTGCAGGGACCTCCTGTGTCCCCGTCTCCCCTACACAGCAGTAGCAAAGAGCTTCCTGAATTTGCCACTGTCTGTGTGGCTTTGCTTTAAGGAAAACATGCCTTTTGTTTCAGATCACCTGCTAGCAGACTCCTACATCGGGCAGGAGGACTCCCCTGAGCTGCAGCAGGTGGCCCAGAACAAGCGCAGGCTCTCGGTCATCTCGGACGGCAAATTCGAGAGGAGCTTCACCGAGGAGCAGGCGGAGAAGCTGCCGAGCGAGGGCCCCAAGCCACGGGTGTACACCATCTCTGGGGAGAGGCCCATGCTGTCGGAGCACGAGAACGACAGCATGGAGCTGGTGGTGATGAAGGGAGCTGCCCACGAGGAGTGTCACCACGGGCACC